GCCCTTCCAGTGTGTTCTAGGGTATCAACCACCTCTGTTCCCGTGGGATACTGCACCAGGGATCGTACCGGCTGTCGACGAGTGGTTCCGTCGGAGTGCGCAGGTCTGGGAGACGGCCCATCAACATCTCAGTCAGGCCTCACAACAGCAGAAGACCTACGCCGACCGACGCCGGAGACCTACTCCCACTTATCAACCCGGGCAACGAGTGTGGCTGTCTACCCGGGACCTGCGGTTTCCGACGGAGCTGTAAGAAGCTCCAACCCAGGTACATCGGGCCTTTCAAGATACTGAGACGTATTAACCCTGTCACCTACCGTCTGTTACTTCCTCGACACTACAGGATAACCCCTACGTTCCACGTCTCGCTGTTGAAACCTGTCCACTATAGCCCGATGTACCCCCCAATCGCTCAACAACCTACTACACCACCTCTGGAGGATGAACAGGACACCACCTATACAGTCCACGAGATACTGGAGTCAAGACGGAGACGAGGGGGCATCGAATATCTCGTGGACTGGGAGGGATATGGACCTGAGGAACGGTCCTGGATCCCTGCGAAGGTCATACTGGATCCCGCTCTCAAGGCCACTTTCCACGCTGAACACCCAGATCATCCAGGACCCCGACCCAGAGGAAGACCACCCGGTAGAGGTAGAAGGCCGTCAGGAGCCGGCCCTGGGGAGGGGGGATACTATAAGGGATCGGGGTTTGGCTGGATCTAGACAGAGTCTGACACTTCCCCCGATCTACTGAGAGGGGGAGTCATCAGACTCGATCTGCTTCACCTTAGTTCTGAGCACACCTGTCAGTAATTAGAGTAGGATATAAGGTGTGCTCAGAAGTTCAGTCGGTGCGAGGTATTGTTCCTTTGTGACTTGCTAAGCGTTTTGTTCAGAGAGAGAGAGAGAGAGAGTTTGTTTTTGATTACCAGTGTACCAGACCTGTGCTTCGTTGTTTGACTCCCCGTATTGCTTAATCTTCTGCTTGTCTATCCCAGTGATTACCGTATTCTGAACCTGTGCCCGTGCCCTCGACTACGACTACGCCCCGCTCCCTTGGTACCTCTGCCTGTCTCTGCCTTGCCCGGTTTTGACCACAGCTCGCCAGACCACGATTAAGCTATTCCCTTGTCTGTACTCTAATAAAGCATCGCAATTCTGCGATTGGATCTTACCACTCTGTCCGAGTATTCATTACACATTTTGCCATGGCTAATGCTGTGTTCTTTTGCTAAAACATAATAACAAAATCAATACTGCTAAATTCATTGTTTTGGGAATGTTCTATTCTCCCTGACTGTCTATGTTTTATTTGGTGATTGTTAGTTCTCAAAGATTATAGTATTTAAAGATATACAGGTCCATGATGTTTTCTATATACTTTATATATGTTTTTAGTTGTTTAAGTGCATATTCATCCCGAAAATTTGTAAAAAATAAAAAACACTGTTTGGATTTAGGCGACCTGAAATAAAAATCCCCAAGGATTTAAATGGCAGAAAATAAAACTGCACACGTGTTCTGGATGTCACTGTGTTCCTCTCCCTCCATGTGAATCTACTGTGTATTATTTGTGTCAAACTTGTTGGGCAACACTCTGGGGTAGGGGGTGGGTGTTTGTTTATGTGTTGTACTTGCTAATGTACTTAATATAATTATTATTCTTATTACCATATCTTTCACTTGAAGTGAGCATTATTACAAGGTAACAGTATATGTGTGTCCATAACCCCAGTCTAAACAGTATGTTGATGTTAGTGGGAGGTTGTGTCCATACCCCCAGTCTAATAGTATATTAATGTTAGTGGGATGTTAGCCGGAGTTTGTGTCATCATCTGGCTGTGAAGGTTTTAAGTTATTAGGTTTTGAAGGTTAAAGCCCCAAGTTTCCTGCCAGACCAGACCAGGTGCAGGTCTTTTCTCTGATACATTGGCACAGTGTATGTGTGTGTGTGCGTGTGTTTGCATGCGTGCATGCCTGTGTGTTCGTTCATGCCCATTCGTGTGTGTGTGCATGCGTGCATGTATTTGAGCAGTTGTTATAAGAGCTAGAGTCAGGGCCATGGTCCAAGATGCAACAGCTGCTAGGTTCTCAGGGCAGCAGGATGTGTGTGTTGTGTGGGTGTGTGTGTGTGTGTGTGTGTGTGTGTGTGGTGTGTGTGGTGTGACAACAGAGCAGCAGGCTGTACTTGTAGCTACATGGGAACCAGCTCTCTGATTCTCCATAGCTGTTTCATACATAGCTGTGTGTCAGTTTAGGAGTCATCCATTACACCCATACACACTTAAAAGGAAGGTGCTATCTAGAACTTAAAAGGGTTCGTTGGTTGTCCCTATAGGAGAACCTTTTAAGAACCCCTTTTTGGTTCCAGGTAGAAACACTTTTGGGTTATATGTAGAACCTTTTCCACAGAGGGTTCTACATAGGAACCAAAAAGGGTTCTCCTATGGGGACAGCCAAAGAACCCTTTTGGTTCCATACTAATAAATAATCATCCATACACCATACAGATCAACCATACTAATCAATAATCATCCATTACACCATACAGATCAACCATACTAATACATAATCATCCATTACACCATACAGATCAACCATACTAATCAATAATCATCCATTACACCATACAGATCAACCATGCTAATACATAATCATCCATTACACCATACAGATCAACCATACTAATCAATAATCATCCATGACACCATACAGATCAACCATGCTAATACATAATCATCCATTACACCATACAGATCAACCCATGCTAATACATAATCATCCATTACACCATACAGATCAACCATGCTAATACATAATCATCCATTACACCATACAGATCAACTATACTAATCAATAATCATCCATTACACCATTACAGATCAACCATACTAATCAATAATCAATCATTACACCATACAGATCAACCATACTATCAATAGACTTCAGCTTTCCATACATACAGAAGGCAAAGTATTGTCCAGGGGAATATGAGGCAGTTGCAAGGCATTCATGACTGATTTAAGCTGTAGCAAGACCTCACAGTTGGGGTTAGTGTATCTATCTGTGAAATGTAGGGAATGCAGTTAATGATGTAACTGTTATCAGCTTGTTTGGAAGAGCAGTCTGAGAAAAGCCTCCCTTTGTACCCTGAGACAGATGGTGATCCCCTACACAGAGTGGAGTGCTTATGGAATTGGGTGTGTGTGTTGTGTGTGTGTGTGTGGTACATCAGCTGCTGGGGAGAATAGCTAGATTCCTGTGTGCAAAGATGTCACTGCCGTAGTGTTGTGAAACAGATCCAGACTTGAACGTTGCGACTACAGCCAGATGTTCAGATTCACAGCTAGCAGCTCCTCTCTGGGACTATGTCCCAAATGGCTCCCTATTCCCTACATAGTCCCACAACTTTTGACCGGAGCCCAATGGACCCTGGTCAAAAGTAGTGCAATATATAGGAAATAGGAGACATTTGGGGACACAGCCTGAATATTAGCTCCGCTGGACTCTCTGGCTCACTCCAGCTGTGGTTAGTTCAACTGCTAGTAGGAGAGTCAGAAAGGGAGAGACGAAACACACTACAAAATACTTAGCTTGATAAATCTGTGCTTGAAGGTAAAGTTATTACTAATTTTTCAGTTGAGATGGATGTGTGTGATGGATCTGAACCTGAGGACAGCAGGCAGTCTTTGAGCAATGTCATTGTGAGGTGTTATGGCTGGAACTAAGGCTTTTTTTTTTGTCTGTTTGTTTAATGCAGTATTTTCTTCTAAGCAGTATCTTCTTTGTATCTTCTCTAATGCAGAATCTTCTCTGTATCTTATCTAATGAATTATCTTCTAAGTATCTTCTCTAATGCAGCATCTTCTCTAATGCAGAATATTTTATAATGCAGTATCTTCTCGAATGCAGTGTTCTTCTCGGTATCTTCTCTAATGCAGTATCTTCTCTAATGCAGTGTCTTCTCTGTATCTTCTCTAATGCCAGTATATTCTCTAATGCAGTGTCTTCACTGTATCTTCTCTAATGCAGTTATATTCTCTGTAAACTTCTCTAATGCAGTAATCTTCTCTGTATCTTCTCTAATGCAGTAATTCTCTGTATCCTCTCCAATGCTGTATCTTCTATAATGCTGTTTCTCTGTTAATTTAATGTTGTACTGTTATCTTCTCTCTGTGTTTAATGCTGTATCTTCTTCGTTTTTAATGCTGGTATCACCTTAGTTTTAATGCTGTATCTTGTCTGTTTTTAATGCTGTATCTTAGTATTTAATGGTATATCTTCTTAGGTTTTAATGCTGTATCTTGTCTGTTTTTAATGCTGTATCTTGTCTGTTTTTAATGCTGTATCTTATTTTTTAATGCTGTATCTTGTCTGTTTTTAATGCTGTATCTTCTTAGTTTTTAATACTGTATCTTCTTAGTTTTAATGCTGTATCTTCTCTACTTGTTTCAGTGTGATCTGCTGTTTGATAAGTTTGAAGGTTGGTGTGTTTTGCTGATCCAGGTGCTGAGGGTGGTCTGACAGGAACATGGCAAATCCATATAGCTCTTACATCAGACAGCAGTCCCTCTGGATCTACCTGACCACCAGTCACACCACCAGACTACCAGTTCCCTAGAAACACACTGTAACACACTTGTAACAGACTGTAGAGACAACATGGACACAGCTCTGATGGTTAATCAGGAGGAGCAACAGTCTTGGTCATGTCAGCATCACCTGGTAGGACCTTCTCGACACAGACACAGACAACGGCACAGACACAGGTACAGCAACAGACACAACCAGAGACACGACACACCAGTCCTCCTCAGAATGTGGTCCAGGGTCTTCTCATGATGACGACAGCTCCAAAGAGAGCAGTGAGGATGTCTGTCTGCCTGGACCTCTAAGCCTGGAGCTGTCGAAACTGGAACTAGACCACCAGGGACACAACCCAGCAGGACAGGGAGGCTGGTCAGTGACTATAACAGTACTGGAGCTCCTGGGATAATGGGAGAACTAGCTGTTACTACTGGAGGTCCAGGAGGGCCAGCAGGGCCAGAAGAGTCTGGTTCTGATGTCTCCCCTCCTGACCCTCTAGACCCTGTCCAGATTCGTCTGTCCCGCGGGTCTCCTCAGTGAGCCAGGCAGTGTGACATCACCATTGCCTGATGATGCCAATAACAATGGATTGGATTTACACAGCACTTCTCCAGCTGAGGACCCCTGCCTTGCCTCCAATGTTCCTTCTCCTAGGACAGAGGGATGGTGTGGATGTTCTGCTTCTAGGATAGAGGGAAACCTGAGGTTGAGGAAAGTGAAAGACCTGTAGAATCAGGACATACACTGGATGCTAACCTATCTGGTCAGCTAGAGGACATGGAGCTGGGGCATACCTCACCCAGGCAGACAGAGACCGACATGGAGCTAGAGGAGGAGTCACCCAGGCGGACAGAAACAGACAGCCAGCCTGGGGACCACTCAGAGGGGCCTGTGGAGAACGGACATGTCCCTACTGGTCTGGAACCACACAGAAGACAACCATTTTCCCCGTCCCTCCAGTCCCCACAGAGAATGGACATATCCATACCCTTCTGGTCCAATCAGAGACAGAGGTCAGCCACATCACTATCTCTGTGGTCCAATCAGAGGCTTTTAGCTCCATCCCTTCTCTAGTGGTCAGTGTCGACAACAACATGGATCCCTTCAGACCTCCCTCCCTCCCCCTGGCCCTCTCTGAGGCCCCCTTGGCGGGGCTGGCCTCTGCAATCACCCCCGCATCATCAAACACAAACCTAGCTCCATCACCTTCTCAGACTACACCTGTAGTCCCTCCACCTGTCACTCTAGCACCGACCACAGCGTTTTCCATCAATGACAGCTCCGGACTGCAGGGAGTGTACCTCAGAGGAGGATGATGAAGGTGATGATGATGAAGATGGGGATGATAACGACATTTCCCAGAGCTGCTTCAGAGCAGTGAGTTCCTGGTCAGTCGGAGGAGAAGGAGCAGCAACAGAGACAAAGTAGTTAAGAAGAGAGGATCTATGCGTCCCCAGGCTGAGGCACCAGTCAGGTCTACATCCACACTACAGCCAGCTCCCACCTCTCCTTCTACTCTTCCTCCAAAAACCAGAGCCACAGCGGCTACGACGCAGAGACTGAGAGCAGCAGCACAGAGTAGGCTACTGTTTGTTGACAGTCATTACAGACATTACAACATTTTAGAGACACAACTGTAAAGATAGTCTCACCTATATTCCTCACATATTGATGTAATATTCATGTATTTGTTGAAAGGTTCAGTACAGATGTGTTTGAATGTTTATGTCAGGGTTAGGCACTGTGTACTAACTGTGGTTATAACACTATTAGATACAGTATATTAATGTATGTGAATCCATTGTATATTAATATAATCCAGCCTGTTCTCTCAATGAGGAGATGTGACTGTTGCTCCCACAGCTGTGTATTTCCTGCCTCCTGGTATCAAGGGTCTCAGAGTAGGAGTGCTGATCTAGGATCAGTTCTGCCTTATAGATGATAGTGAATAAGATTACGTGGACAGAGGGGACCTGATTCTAGATCAGCACTCATACTCTGAGATGCTTGATACAAAAGGCCCAGATGTTTACCCATCGAA